CGGCCCAGGCCGCGCAGCCGCGCGCCGAGACTCCGATGCGGCGCCCGGGCCAGGCGCGGACAGGCACGGCCAATCGAACGCCGAGCGCGCCGGGCCCCTCCCCCACCTGGCCTAGGCTGGGGCGGGGATGAGATTCTATCCCGGCACAGACGGATCGGGGCCCAGACTCACGTATACATGCGGGCACACGTACATGAAATCCGGGCGTCGGGGCCTCACATGTATGTGTGCCCATGTGTGCACACGCCCATGCAGGATGCTGGACCTTGGACTCACATGCAGGGACGCGCCGGGCCCCTCCCCCACCTGGCCTAGGCTGGGGCGGGGATGAGATTCTATCCCGGCACAGACGGATCGGGGCCCAGACTCACGTATACATGCGGGCACACGTACATGAAATCCGGGCGTCGGGGCCTCACATGTATGTGTGCCCATGTGTGCACACGCCCATGCAGGATGCTGGACCTTGGACTCACATGCAGGGAGAACCCAGGCATCCGGGCCACATGCATGCACACGCACACATGCACACACATGGAACCTGGACACATGCATATATGAGCATGCATATGCACGTGTAACCCAGGCCACGTGCATGTGCATGAGCGCACACGCACACGTTTCCCAGGAAAGCTACATGTCCCTGCAAGCCGATATTGGCGACCAGGGTGGACGGCTGGAGACCCTCTGGGTTAAAATCCGTGGGGAACACGGCACAGGGGACACAATGGTGGGAGTCTATTACAGACCTCCCACCCAAAGTCCTGAGCTTGACCAGGAGTTTGCCCAGGAACTGGCTGAGGCAGCTTGCTCCAGGACCATGGTTGTCATGGGTGACTTCAATTACCTGGACATCTCGTGGGAGGATCGCTCAGCAAAATCTGAGTGGTCGCAAAGCTTCCTCTCGTGCGTGGATGACCTCTACCTGACTCAAGAAGTCTATGGGCCAACGAGAGGCAAAGCGCTGCTCGACCTGGTGCTGGCTACTGGTGATGACCTAGTCGGCGACCTAGTGATCGATGGGAAGCTGGGTGACAGCGACCACGAGCTGATCACCTGCAAGGACATCCTGGTGCAGCCCCGCTGTTCCCAGCCATGCTGGGTCTTGCCTGCAGGGCTACAGCAGCCCCATGGGAGGGAAGCAGGGAGGGAGCTAAGCCCACAGCCTGCCCCCCAATACAGCTCTGGAGGCATGGGTTCCCCTTGCCTCCTTAGACTTAACAACACTGAGTTCCCAGCTGGCTCCACATCTCCCTGCTCCCAGCTGGTGCCTCCATGTGTGGCTTCCCTTAAGGGCTGCTAGAGCTGCTTCAGTCTTACCTGCCCCCATCTTGGCACTCCATGGCCGTGAGTGGGGAGATGTGGAGCCAGCCGGGCACTCCATGTATTTCCCAACACCTCCCTGCTCATGGCTGGAGTGCCCGGCAGGCTTCACATCTGATGATGTCATCACCCAGATCAGGCCTTCCATTCCCCTCCCTGGCACCCTCTACTTGCCTCCCCCTCTCCCCCTCTCCCATAGCTTCTGGCTTACTTAGCACTGTCATGGAAGAGCAGGCAGGGAAGGGGAACCTGCCCACCTGGGCACTGCTGTCACTACGGCTTCTTTCTGGACTGGGCAGGCAGCCACAAATAAGCCAGGCTATGCAGATAAGCTGGGAGGAGGCCATAGGCTCACAACACCAATGAACTGCTGCTACCTTTGGGGTGTTGTGAGATGCTTATCCAGTGCCCTTGGCAGATGAGGTGAAAAGATAAAGACAAGTTATCTCATAAAAATTACTATGAGCTCTTCATTATCCATTACTATAGAAAGGAGCACAGGTTTTAGGTCTTAACTTAAAGTACCATATCTGTACGTACATATATTATTATTTTGTTTAGTATATTCCATATGATTGAAAATGGAATGAAGGAAAGGTGCTTAGATAGCTCTTTAAATGCAAAGAGAACAGATTTCAAATTAATTAATGCAGTATAACATTAATCAAGTCTTCTTGAGAAGGTTTAATTTAACAAGAAAGTCTAATAGATTTTTGTTGTAGTTTTTAAATTAAGGCAATTTATATCAGATGTCTTTAACAGACAAGAATATTGCACACAATAAAATTAGCTCTTGAATCATCTTTTACTCTAGAGATTTGTTTTTAAACCACAGTGCATGAATATTAAAATCTGTCAGGGAATATCCAGGAATCGTGTGTAACAGTTAAAATCCTGATCGTTATTAGAATTATAATGATCAGGTGAAGATAAAGCTTTTTTTTTAATATAAAGGTTTATATTTAAAACAAGTGTCCTGATTTTCGAAAAATGTTGAGCATTGCCAGCACATCCCATTGATGGCAATGGGAACTAATAGGAGTCTTCTCTTGAAATGTGGGACTCTTAAGTACTTAAACATGGTTTTAGGAGCTTTTTTTTAATGGCCCCGTAATTGTTCCTTAAATGTCGATCCTCATCAAATAACTGCCCATAGAAACTGTGCATAGTTTTGGATAATCCATTATATCCTCACTAAATTAGCTGAGAATTGAATTCAGCATTACAGTTCTCAGGTCCTGGCATGCGCAGCTGTAAACTTTAAATTACAGCAAATCCCGGGACGTCATTCTCCCCCTGTACTCGGCCTTAGTGAGGCCGCAGCTGGAGTACTGTGTCCAGTTTTGGGCTCCACAATTCAAAAAGGATGTGGAGAAGCTTGAGAGAGTCCAGAGAAGAGCCACGCGCATGATCAGAGGTCAGGGAAGCAGACCCTACGATGACAGGCTGAGCGCCCTGGGGCTCTTTAGCCTGAAAAAGCGCAGGCTCAGGGGTGATCTGATGGCCACCTACAAGTTTATCAGGGGTGACCACCAGCATCTGGGGGAACGTTTGTTCACCAGAGCACCCCAAGGGATGATGAGGTCGAATGGTCACAAACTACTTCAAGATCGTTTCAGGCTGGACATAAGGAAGAATTTCTTTACTGTCCGAGCCCCCAAGGTCTGGAACAGCCTGCCACCGGAGGTGGTTCAAGCGCCTTCATTGAACACCTTCAAGATGAAACTGGATGCTTATCTTGCTGGGATCCTATGACCCCAGCTGACTTCCTGCCCTTTGGGCAGGGGGCTGGACTCGATGATCTTCCGAGGTCCCTTCCAGCCCTGATGTCTATGAAATCTATGAAAGAAGAAACAAGGGACATAAAGCTGAGAGAAGAGAAACTCCAGGTTCCCTCGGGTACCCACTGCTGTGCATCCACAGGCTGAGAAAACAGATTTGCAGGTCCATTCACTAACCAAGCCAGGCTCTACAAAACATAACCCCCCTTCAGAGGCAGGGGTTAAAGTCCAGGAGACTGGGTGGGGGTGTGTGGAAGGAAAATATTTTACAGATAGGTGGGCAGATAAATAGATAAATACACAAATAGGTAGGTGGGTAGGTAGATGGATTCCTATGGCACCTCAACATCAGGGATCAAACTTGGTCCCTGCCCCTAAAATACAGCCTCTTGAGCTGGTGAAGCAACGCACTGCATAGAGTGCCTCCTCCCCCCCCCAACAAAGCCTCTGTTCCCAAAGGGAGGAACACCCTTCCCCGCTCCAGTCTGGTTCAGGAACAACCTCCAAATTTGGATCCGGAATAAGTCCTGGAATCTGGCAGAGGAGATAGGGTGAAAGTCAGGAGTCAGACCCTTCCCCTAAATTAAAATAATATTAATATAATTATGATATTGATCAGAATCATGTTAATAATTACAATCATCATAGCAGTAGCAACAACAGCAAAACAACAGCATACATAATAATGACAATGTTATTAATAATAATAATAATAATAATTGCTTCCTTTGCTTTTGTCTCAACTTTTAACCCTTTAAACTCCTGCAAGGAGTGTTTCACACCTATCGTCTCCCATCTCTGATCTTCACTGCCATGCATTTGCATTTTCACAGACCTGTATTTTGTATATTGGCTTCTATTCCACCTAGGAGAGCACACAAAACACCAGCAAATTCTCCCTATGCCTGAAAAAGGGTGTTTGTGCTGGAAAGCTTACAAAGAACAATGCTTCCAACTATTTAGCTGGTCTAATAAAAGAGATCTGTGGTGGCAGATGACAAAAGGAACAACAGTCTCAAGTTGCAGCAAGGGAAGTTTAGGTTAGATATTAGGAAGAATTTTCTCACTAGGAGGGTAGTAAAACACTGGAACAGGTTACCCACAGAGGTGGTGGAAGCTCCATCCTTGGGGGGTTTTAAAACCTGACTAGACAAAGCCTTGGCTAGGATGATCTGGTTGTGGCTGGTCCTGCTCTGAGCAGGGGCTTGGACTACAGACTTCCTGAGGTCCCTGCCAACCTCAACTTCCTATGATTCTAAGATCACATTTACCCAAAGAACCTTGTCTGCAAGGAATGGAGACATTTTCAGGGGAGAGGCTTCACCTCATCAAGCTCTCCGTCACCAAGGGACAAAAGAACACCCCTCCCCTCCATTATAATCTGCATATACACAAAGTTTTAAGTCAGCCTGAAACCTGTTCAGGGCCCAACACCTGGAAAGCCTGGGGTAGAAGATACAGCCAGCTGCCGGAGGAGGCTGCTGGCTCCCTTGATATCAGCCAATATCCCCAACATTCAGTGGCTGCATAGAAACCCCCAGTCTCAGTCTGTAAGTCCCCAGCACCTGGAGTCCTGGGATCAGTGCAGGAATCTCAGCTGTTGCTTAAACGTTGTGGAAACCCCAGGGTATGAGGCTCTTAAACCCCCAATGCCACAAGCTCCCCATTGC